TCCTAGGATTTTTGCAATATTGCTATATTGCTCTTGATGCATCTTAGAGGCTTAGTGAAATATTAGTGAAATTTTTGCCCTGTGAAGAGGATCTAGTTTTCCATAGAATGTTCCTTCATTCTGCAGAAAAATGAGTATATCTTTGTTCTGAGTCTTTATTCAGCTCTATTTGGGAATATTCCTGTAGTGTGGATTTCTACTGATATATTTCATAAAAACATCCCAAATTACAAATTCGCTTTTTCAAACGTGTTTTGGAAGGATGATTGGGTTTAGAGTCAAAAGATGTGGATTCCAATCTGTCTCTCACGTTTAGCAAGCTGTATGTCTTTGGGCATATTATTTAAACACTCTGAGCCCCAATGTACTCACCTGCAAAGTAAGGATAATACCTCCCTTCTTCAAAGAAAAGTCCACAATGATTAAACAAGATACTGCATTTGCAAGCAACTTCCACCTCAGTTGTCCTATAAGATGACTTTTCTAGTGTTGCATGGCAAATAGTAAGCTCCAAATAAATATGAGAGAATTTAAATTTTGTTTAATCTTCAAAACTCACTGGAAAGCCTATAGAGAAAGTGATTTTTATTGGACATAAATGTTATTATATATGTTATTATTTTTTAAAGTTGGTTGTTCTGCTGAAAATCATGAAAATGTGGAGCTGAGGGTGTGTTTGTTTTTATGAGAATATGCTTCAGGTGGAACTAGGAATGGATCGCTTTCATATCCATTACAGGTGTGCCAGTCTCGGCCTCTCCTTAGCCTCCTGCTAACTGTACCAGTTCCTCCAGGCAGATGCTTACCTGCTTGAAAGGGAAGTAAAGGATATCCTGTGCCAATTTATCAGAAATCTTTGCACACCAGGATTTTGTTCTGAAGTAATAAATTTTGTTTTATAACTATACATTAATTTTGAATGCAGCTTGGCAAGCAATGACCAAACTTAAACCTGGTCTTGTAAAAAAACAATTCAGACTTTAATGCTGGATTCGCTCTCATTATTTCCATGGTAAAGTAGCTGAAAGATGGTTTTTAAAAATAACACACAATAATACTAACGTCCTATAAAAAATCACTTTTGCTACGTGCTTTCCAGTGAGTTTCGAATATCAAACAAGATTTAAATTCCACCACATTTATTTAGACCTTACAAGGCTCTACAGAAACTAGAAAAGGTAAATGCCTTGTTATCACACTTGCATTTCATCATTGCCTTATGAGATTCAGAGCATGAAGAGCAGAAGCCAGAGCTGTGTCCTTGAACAACTTTCTTAGCTTCCCTATCCATTAGCACAGAAGGTATCTGCATAATTGTAATACTAGTTTTTCTACTCCTGTCAACAGATCGTTAGCAACTAAAAGGAAAGAGTATAATGAATTCTGATTTCCATCAAATTTTCAGCAATAGAAGCCATATCAGAAACTATTCTTTCAGAAAAACATACATTATTACTATTAAAATCAATCAGTTGTGCTAAATCTAACCACCCGAGGCTAGACAGTGATTATCCCCAGATTAACAAGCATCAGTACAAAGAACTATGCTGTCTCAATTCCTCAAATGAAAACAAATGGAAGACTGTTCAATTATAGTAATGAATAATAACGACTGATCTCAGCTCTGTGATTTTAATTAGTACTCTCTGCTGATAATGAAAAGTTGAGATCCCAGCACTTTGGGAGGCCAAGGCAGGAGGATCACCTGAGGTCAGGAGTTTGAGATAACCTGGCCAACGTGGCAAAACTCCATCTCTACCAAAAGGACAAAAAGTAGCTGGATGTGGTGGTGGGTGCCTGCAATCCCAGCTACTTGGGAGGCTGAGATAGGAGAATTGCTTGAACCCAGGAGACAGGGGTTGTAGTGAGTAGAGATCGTGCTACTGCACTTTAGCCTGGGCAACAGAGCAAGATTCTGTCTCAAAAAAAAAAAAAAAAAAAAAAAAAAGAAGAAGAGGAAGAAAGAAAGAAAAAGAAAAGTTGAGATGAGACTTGAGAGATTTGATCCCTGAGCACTGAATTTCCGATACAGAATTCACACTTCGGCTTTTACCTGTAAAGCTCAAGATCCTCTCAGACTAATTATATCTTAATGTTCATGTTCATGGTTATGGTTATGTTTTTTGATATTTTTCTTGCTTTTAAACAAGTGGCAGAACACTCTCTAATTAGAAATTCATCTTATTGTTTTCACCCATATGTAGGCAGGTTCTAATTTGTCTACATTAAACACTTTAAAGTTGATAATCTTTCTACTCATTTTTTTCTATTAAATGATTTTAGATATTTCTTTTCATTACAAATAAAATTTGATTTTTATAGCTTAAAGTTAAGCTGAACAATTTTTCTTTTATTGTAATATCTACAATTGTTTTGCGTTTCGTAATTTAAAAAATGTGAACTATCTTACTAGAAGATTTTTGAACACATTTCTAAGTAAAGAGTTTGGGGGAAAATGACAACGTATTCTCTAATATTGAAAAGAATGACAACATACTGAACAGCATACTGAATACAGTGTGTCAGCTATACAGTGTGTCTGAGAGTAATCTGGCTGTAATCTATATACCTATATTTATTCACATCAAAAGGAAACATTTCACCATATTTGAAATTTAAGATGTAATCGAAAACTGAGAAAGGAATCATTTGCCTTCAAATGTATTTTATTAACTATACTGCTTAATACTACATTACATCCTATATCCTTTCTTCTTGCAGCATTCATACATGTCAGATTAGCAAAGGCAGAGAATGATTAATTTTTATTACTTATCACAACGATCTATTAACTATGTACTAACTGCCCCTTGTGACTGTCATCCAAGGTTTTTTACATACTTAGATTAATCAAGAGATTCATTTGTTTGGATTGTGCTTTGCAACCACTAGAATAATTTCCCCCCATATGGTGTCTTTGTTTCAAAACAACGGAGATATTTAATCTTGGCCGTGTTTTCAAATATAATTGATTTTTATTCATACTCTGTGCAATTTCATTAGAAGGGCATTTTTTATTCTCTGTTTTTTCTTTAAGACTTGTGGACATACATGTGAAAAGTGAGGTTTTTGTTTGTTTGTTTGTTTGTTTGTTCTAAGATCTTTATCCTTCATGAAACAAATATTTGAAAGATCCAAACTGTCACAACCACAAACAGATGGGAGTCAACTATAACTAACAGGTGTTCCTCTGATAATTCATCATTATCTGATCTTAATAAGAAAGCAGTGTTTAGAAAAAGAGCTAAAGAGTAAAGTGTTAAAGAGCAATTTTTGAAAGTTAACAGTTAAAGTGAGGTCTAAGGTTTTATCCAGCAGGAAGTATTTAGTTGGCCAGAAACTTAGTAAGCACCTTTGCCTTCCCCTCCTCACGCCTTCTCCACCTCTGCGCCCCACCTGGACAAGGAGGCCTCCAGGACTTTTGATGAATCAGAGACTTTGATTGATAGATATACGGGAACTCTGCCTGTCTCGTCTACACTGTGCCACAGGTCTCTTTGACGACTATGTGCTTTAGATTCCTTTAACAGGAGGAATTGTATTTAACAGTCTATTTCCCATATTTAAAAAGTCTTATTTCTTCCTCATTCATGCCTCATTAATATCATTAAAATTGGGGAATTGTACAATGGCTACAAATTTCAGTGAGAGAATTGTACTGGAAGCCAATGATAATTAAATATATACTTGCAGAGACAGTAGGACCAAGCTGAAGGGGAGACAGAAAGACAGAGAGACAGAAAAACAGAGGCACAGTGAGAGATCAAGAGAAAAAAAGAGAGAAACAGAAACAGACAAAGGGGGACAGAGACAGAGAGTGACAGGAAAAGAGACAGAGGCAGAGGTACACATAGGGAAGACAGAGAGAAAGCAACAGAGGCACAGAGGAAGAGAGACAGAGTGAAAAGGAAAGGAGAAAATGAAAAGGCATAATGTTTTTTCCCTTCTAGACTTTAAAAATTCATTAAAATTCTGATATAAAAAATAGACTTAAACAGTTGAGAAGATCATATCTGAACATAGTTTGTTAACGTTGATCCATTCCACAAATATTTGCTTCTTGCTCATTAGGTTAAGGCCCGATTCAGGCCTTCCACTGTGGGGACAGGTCTGTGCATGCAGTGCCACTTGAAAGGACACTCTGGGAGTCTCTGCCACAGGCCACTGATCGAGATTCCTAAGAAGAACGAAGTTCTCAGCCTTTCACAGCAGGGAGTTTGTGGTTAAGCCAGAAAGCAAATGTTATCAGAGTCAAGAAATATCGGCCCTGCACCTGTAAGCATCTAGTCTACCTTTGTCTACTGCTGGCTTTTAAAATGAATCTTCCTTGCAGGATAGTTTAACTGCTCACACTTAAATTATTCATAGGGAAGTTTATTTTCCAATCTCCTTTGGGAAATTTGACTATTTAAATAAAAGAGCCCGGTAACTTTATATTGAGAAATACATTCTTTTAGAATGTTTTATGCTCCCCATCGACATGATTCTATAGCACCATGAAGAACATGGTGAAAAATGTCCCCTGCAGGGGAACACACTAAATGGATGCTGGCTCTGCTCATTGCTTAATCAAGATTGTTCAACCCTGTAATATGCCAAGAGGGAAAGCATAATTATTCATGTAAGTACTTACATTTAGTTATTATTTATAGGATTTTTAGAAGTAATAAAGCAAATAGAGTAGCATTCATATAGTTAAATGTGTCATCTCCAAAGCTTATTTTATCTAATGTGCACAAAGGGGCCAACTGATAAAAGCTCTAAAGTAAAAAATTTAAAGGAAACAGCATACATTATTACATTTACAACAAGTTCTATATCATTTCTCACCGGGAACACATAAAACCATATCTTAATTGTTAATATTACTGAGATCCTGATCAATTATACATGTCTTTCTAATATGAGAACTTTATGCATTTTAAAAAGAAATTAAGTTACAGCCGACTCTGGTAAGTAAGCGAAATGAAAGTAAAGGCCCAGGACACTATGTTACTCACCATGTTCTATCCTGAAAGTCCCTCTCAGGTCTAGGTAAGCGCACTACAAGGTCTAATACGGAGACCTGTCTTTATGACTCTTTGAATCAAACAGTAACTAAGTGGTTTAAGTAGAAACATGTATTTTGAAAGGTTAATCCACCCATACACAGGGAAACCCCTTTTTTAAGAAAGTCATTCTGCTGCCAACAGACTATTAATATTCACCTCTCAGATACAAATACAACCTACAGATAAAAGATTCACAACCTATGTGAAAATACCACAGAGGATTCCCTCTTAGTCTCTATGTTGTAATGGAAACACAAGAAAACAATAAACCTCTTCAGGCAATTGGGGGTACTACAGGAAATCTACCTGCCCACTTAATGGAAAAGTTATATCAGCTTACTAGGGCCACAACACATAAACATAAATTTAGAATTAGTATAACTTACTGTAAGGACCACATAGGTCACACACTCATTTCTAGGAATGTTCCTGTGTTTCATCTTCCTATTTCTTTCCCTGAGCGAGCTAGCACCCAGGTTAACATTTAAACAGTCACCCTTTAAAGTAATTTAGAAATAAGCTCATTACCTTTTAAAAATAGGACTTGCTGAGTGTTTTCTTACTTACAGGGGAGATTATCTTTAGAGTCTGTATGTGGCTTCCCTGGCACTATACCATTAGGAATGATGTGTATTTTTCTTATCCCAGAAAACAGTCTGCAAAATCATTAGTAGTGGTAAACCTCTCCAAAGTGATAAAGACATTTGTACCAGTTTGGGAATAAAATGTTTGCTGAGGAAGTGCCTAATAGTGATTATTATTGATTAGTTATACCATTTGCTTATATTGAAGTATTCATTTTTCAGATAGGCATGGTAAGATTAAGAAAATGGCAAATAGCATACTGGCAATATGCTGGAGGAGACATTTTCTCAGAGTTTGATTCTTTGCTCTACTTTAGCTCTCATCACAACACGCATTGTGACTTCAGAAAAACAGATGGACAGTGATAATCCCCTTCTACACTTCCACTTCTACAGACATGCTTTGGGAAGTGTGAGACAAAGGGAGCCTCAACATTTTCTTTTTTATTACAAAATGCTGTAAAAATCAGTCCTGGTTGGCAAAGCCATACTGTTTCTTACGTTTTTCTTTACTGTGTTTTCTTTTTCTGTACTGTATTTTATGTTTCTGTATTTTCAAAAAATTTAAAAAATAGTCTATTATACAATGTAGCTTGCATATGCAGTGAACTGAAAAAGAAAATCAAAACAGAGCTTAGGAAGTCAACAGTCCATCCTTAACCTGAGTTATTAAATTAAATACATTTGATATGAAAATTCCATTGTTTCAAGGTTCCCTAAAGCATTTTGAATATGTCTTTTAAAAAGTATTTTAAATGAACACAAAATGACATTTACCCTGTTAGTTTTTTTCAATGTGAGAAAATTAATTACTTATTTCACAAGAGTATGCTATTTTAGCACAATATCAAAAGAACAAGGAGAAATTAATCAGCCAACAACAAGGGGGCTAAAAGTTAAGCCATCCTTACAGACTGGAATATTCAGATCTAACTAATGTCTTCCTTTCCTGAAAGTACTTTTAAAATTATAGAACGCTATGCAAATTCACAATGTGATTGCTATTATTGGAACTGAAGTATTCCCAAAGTGTGTTGAAAGACCATCTTGTTTCAAGCTGCATGTCTTTTCATTTGACGATCACAACAATTAAAGTGTGGAGGGAGAGCATAGAAGCATGTTTCAGAGAGTACTGATCCAAGCAAAAAGTTATTTCCATCAAAAACTGTGGGATAACCCAGCTACTTGGGAGGCTGAGGTGGGAGGATCAGTTGAGCCCAGGAATTCACATCCAGCCTGGGCAACATAGTGAGACTCTTGTCTCTAAAAAACAAACACCTGTGGCAGGGCACGGTGGCTCACACCTGTAATCCCAGAACTTTGGGAGGCCAGCGCAGGCATTTTGCCTGAGCTCAGGAGTTCAGAATCAGCCTAGGCAACATGGTGAAACCCCACGTCTACTAAAATACAAAAAAATTAGCCAGGCATGGCAGCATGTGCCTGTAGTCCCAGTTACTCAGGAGGCTGAGGCAGGAGAATTGCTTGAACCTGGGAGGTGGAGGTTGCGTTGAGCTAAGATCGCACCACTACACTCACACTCCAGCCTGAGCAACAGAGTGAGACTCCATCTCAAAAAAAGAAAAAAAAAATCACGCCTGTAATCCCAGCACTTTGGGAGGTCAACGCGGGCAGATCACAAGGTCAGGAAATCAAGACCATCTGGCCAACATAGTAGAACCCCGTCTCTACTAAAAATACAAAAATTAGTTGGGCATGGTGGCACCTGCCTGTAATCCCAGCTACTCAGGAGGATGAGGCAGGAGAATTGCTTGAACCAGGGAGTCGCAGGTTGCAGTGGGCCAACATTGCACCACTGCACTCCAGCCTGGCAACAGAGTGAGACTCTATTTCAAAACAAACAAAAAACCCCCAAACTATGAGATGGATGGTGAGGATGGTAATGCTAGTCAAATGAAAATGTAGAAAGGCACCATATTTATTTATCTCATGGAACTGTTATTGGGAGAGGAGAATAGTCTATAAAACAGAACAACAGATGTTGTTATCACTGCTTCTCACCGTTCTAACTGTAGAGGGGAAACTGGATTCTGTTGAATGCCACCATGAAATAAATGTATTATTTGCACATAAAACGCTGTATTGCTTCTTGTATACATCTAAGCCACCTGACATCAGCTGTGAGCAGAAAGTGGCCATGTGCCAACTAAACGATTTTTACGGTTCATCGTATTTTGTTCAGTGATTTACCTTCAGGGAAAAATGAGGAAATGAGTTAGGAAAAAAATTAATAAAACTTGAAGACCAGTGTCAAAAGTGATTGATCTAAAATTAGTTTCACATGTCTGAGGGTACAAGTGTCTGAAGAAAACGGGGGCAGAAAGGGGAAAATGAGACCGGCGAAGCAAGACAAGGCCATTTAGAATGTGGGGGAAAAAAAAGCAGTCATATTCAATGTTTCTTCTTTTTTTCAGCGAGAGTATTAAAGAGCCTCAGATAAGAAAATTTCCAAGCTTTAGGCTTGAGAAAGGGTAAACCCAACTTGTCTCTGAAGATGAGCTGAATGCGTCACTCAAGAGTCAGCTCCTATGGACCTCACCGCGTGCCTCGTGTGTAGGCTGTCCACAGGTGTCCTCGGGAAGAGAGGCAAAGTGCTTCCACATGTTTCTTTCTGGTGAGATTCCAGGCACTCTCCTCCCTCCCCCTCTGCCACAGATTCAGGCTCCTTTCCCTCTTGGCCTCCCAACATCCAAGTTCCAAATCATGGGTAAGAAATGGAGATTGAGTGGAGACAATAAATGTAGTTGTCACAGTTGAGGAAATTATTTAAAAGTGTTCACCACCGTAGAGTTTTTCTACCAAGTGTGGTAAAGCCAACCTGGCAATGTTTGTCCCATTTAAGTACAGTTTCCCCAGGAAGTGTTCAACCTAGATTTTGTCTGTTAGGTGAGAGCTTTCTGTGGATTAGGGACATTTAATTACCCTCCAGAGTCTTTCAAGACGGAGGCTATGGCCTCTTGCCAAACTTTGGTCTTTATTGTTTTGATGAGAGAGGCAAACTAGAGAGTATATTCCCATGGCAACTTCAGAATATCACCTGTTTTATTACTTAAAGGACAGAGGGTGGCTGTGCTGGGAGCCTCAGCTGGACTGGATATCAAACTAGAAAGGGTCATATTATGGGCTTGTGTTCTACTCTCTCCTAGCTCAGTTTATTATGAACAAACCTTAGTGTTAGTTTGGGCTTCCTGCTCTTCATAAAAAAGAATGGTATTTTTTTTCTCACAGATACAAACTCCTATAACAACTAGAAGTATGGCTAGCTGATTTCAATATTTGATGACTCTTATTTTAGAGAAACTAGTCGTTCAATGCATCTTTGCTACATTCTCTTTCATTACTGTATATGTGCTTTTTTCTTTACTCTGATACAGATAGCAAAAGGGTAAACAACACATGATTTAAATCATTAAAGTAGCACAGTTCTGCTTTTTCCTAAGAACTGTAGTCAACTTTCGTTCTGTAAAATGTTGCCAAAAAGAGGATATATCATGCAAACTATTGGGACAGAGGATGGACATAAATCTCCTTACTAAAGAGGATGAACAAAAAGGAGATGAACCATGGATGTCGATAAATCAGAAATGCAGCTGTTTGGGACCAAAGTCCAGTTATCACTGTAAGCTAGGCCAGAAAGATATGGTGGCCTTTCAAAGGCAATCCCAGGTGTTGACAGAGAAGTCCCCAAAGAACTCTTTGACACTCGGGCCCTTTGACTTTTACCCTCGCTATATCTGTATCCTTTTCTGTTTTCAATACAGAGACATTTGAAGGGACATTTTTCTTATAGCAGTTTCTTGTTTTCAGTTGAAAACCTAAAATGGAAAAATAACTTTTAATGTTAAGCTGTGGTTTCCACCTTCTATGACCTTCATTTACAGTCATCTGTTTTAAAATGATCTTCAGATCTTCACTCCAGCTCTACGGTATTGTGGGGTTCATGCACTTGGGAATAGACAGGAACTCTGGAACTCTAAAAACAGTTACTAAAAGTATTAAGTTTATGGATATTTTAAGGTAAAGTCATTCACTAAGCTGAAGTTTGAGAGGAGCCCTCATTGTTTTATCCCAAAAGATCCAAAAGATTATATAACAAATGTAAAAGTTTACCTCTAGCACTTTGAAACTCACAAAAAATGTTTAAAGCTTGTATCAAAAGTAATTTTATACACCAAGGAGAGAAATCTGTTTATAGAAGTTTAATGTAAACCAATGCGTTATTCTCCAGGGGCATTTGTTCTAACACACTTATTAAATATCAGACTCATTTAACCCCCGGAGGCTTCAATACCTTTATCTAAAAATGAGACTGGTATACATAATGCCTAAAAATCCCTTCCCTGTCAAAGAGTTTAATTTGATATCACCCCAAATAGCAAACAACACATTTCCATTTTGATTGGTTTTATGGCATGAAATCAATAGTCTTCTTAAGGTCCTTTGTATCATTGTGAAAAATATCCCACAAATATGACCCTCACATTGCTCTACAGTATGTATACTCTGAGTTGATTCTACTTATAGAATTAATAGCATGAATGATTTCAGATATTAAACCAAAGTACCAAAGACCTAAAAGGTTGGACTCCCAGTACAATTTAAAAATTATATAACTGAA